ACTTAAATCATTCCCCATAAATTAAAGGGAGTGGCCGTTAGCTGCAGTGGACCGGACAGAATGGAGAAACGCATTAGAGGGGGTGAAACTCACATAATGAGCCTGTGAGGTGTGATACAGGGAGCCATTATGTGCCAGATATAGATATAGAGGCATCGAGCCAAAATGGTGGATTATGCAGCTGTGTGTGGTGTGCACACAGGGGCTTCTAATAAGGAACTATGAGGTATGTGTGAGTGTTAGCCCTACCATTGACAGGTTTCTGGTGCATGGAGTCAACAAAGTTGCGGGGGTTCTCAATGCTGTACTTGAGGTCGCGTACGGTGTTAGTGCCACCGCCCTCCGTCCACATGCCTTTCTTGGAGGCCTTGGCCTGGTCCTCCAGGTCACACAGTCTAGCCTGATCTGGACTACACACACCGGGACAAGAGAAGAAGACAAGTGGTTAGTATATAACACACAGACTGAAGTTTCAAACTATAGTAAAGTAGCTGGAATAGATCTTAGAGACAATGGACTTTTTTTTTTTTGCTGACACAGAGCCCAGTCCCAGCACAGTGCCTTGTTAAAGGGCATCAGTAGGTGACAATTATACTGATGCCAGCAAGCCTCCAGCTCACTCTTCTGTTACTGGTCCAGTTCTCTATATTATCAGTTTGGCCTTAGGGGGCAACTGGAACTGCATGGGCACTAGTTAGTAGTTCTAGCTACACTGACAGTTCTACTACCGGCCCTCAGGCTAAACTGATGAGACTGGCTAGGTGGACATACAACTGGACATAACAGTTCTGCTATGTTGTGCTTTTTAAATCCTTTCAGATAAATTAGGGTAAAAAAGAGCAATGGTTCCCAAATGTATGGTCAGGCTTTCATGACCCACGCCAATTCAATAAAAGCAATGTTTCTAGTGTCACAAAATTAGCCTTTAGCTGTGACACGAGGGCCCGTGGCCACCTAATACTTGTGGGATATGCATTGGTTTAGTTGATCAACCAAAAACATAAGGGAGATTCAGGCACCACAACTTCCTCCATTTGCCTAAACACCAACATGAGTTTCAGACACCTGGTAGACGGCCAAGTACACAACTCCCCAGTTTCACTTCCATCTGCATGAGCTTTCAGGTTCAGCGTGTTGATAACCAGATTGTCAGGCTGGGCCTCAAACAAAGATCAGAGGGCACTTTAAAGACAACATGGTGCCCAACAACTCCCTCAAAACGGGCAAGGCAGGCGATATATGTCTCAATTCCACGGTGGTTCAAAACAAATGGCGACCGTTATCTTGAAAGACCATCAGCGTTTTCCACTTCGCCTTTTTTAATTTTCTTCATTATTTTCCGTCGGCGTGTGAACAGTTTTAACACGTTTTCTGTGGAGTGGAGAAGTGAGGCTTGCCCATAACTGATATGAGAAACGGAGAGTGAGATAGTGGGACGGGGTTCTTTGTTGAAACGAGAGCTATGTAAATTGAGCCTTTTTACATTGATGCTGTCTGAAAGGGAGAGTGGGTGCTAGGTTTAGAAAGAAAGGGGCACAAAGTGGTACTCAATTAAAACACGTCACACACACAAAGAAAAGAGAGAGTCTGAGTGTTCTGAAACAGTTCCTAATTGGAGCATTGGACTGGCGCCCAACAACCCCCTTCCATCCTCGATCGTTCTAGACACAAATCCCAACTGAAATAGAACTGTTTCTTGCTTACCGAAGCAGGAATACAGAGAACATTACGTTTCTGGGCCAGCCCACAAAGCCTACAGAAAGTCAATTGTACTTAAGCTACATAGGACTAACAGCACAAACCGGGGGGGCTCCTGAGTGGCGCAGTGGTCTAAGGCACTGCAGTGCTTGAGGCGTCACTACAGATCCGGGTTCGATCCCGGGCTGTGTCGCAGCCGGCCGCGACCGGGAGACCCATGAGGCGACGCACAATTGGCCCAGCGTAGTCCGGGTTAGGGGAGGGTTTGGCCGGCCGGGATGGCCCTGTCCCATCGCGCTCTAGCGACTCCTGTGGCAGGCCGGGTGCATTCAAGCTGACACGGTCGCCATTTGTACGGTGTTTCCTCCGACACATTGGTGCTGCTGGCTTCCGTGTTAAGTGAGCAAGGTGTCAAGAAGCAGTGCGGCTTGGCAGGGTCGTGTTTCGGAGGACGCATGGCTCTCGACCTTCGCCTCTCCCGAGTCTGTACGGGAGTTGCAGCGATGGGACAACACTAACTACCAATTGGATATCACGAAATTGGGGAGAAAAACAGGTTTAAAAAAATTATACCAAATATATACAAAAAACTGCACAAGCAAGGCTGGAATCACTGAGATTGAGGCTGTGCCTTTTCACTATAGCGCAGTGCACTTATTTTGACCAGGGCCCATAAGGCTCTGGTTAAAAGTAGTGCACTATGTAGGGATGCAGCTTGAGGCTAGCCCAGATACTGAACGGACACAGCGAGATACTGTGAGTATGCAACTAGGTTGACGATCAGAGATCAATGAAGACACAGGAGGTAGCCTACTTGGTCCTGTGTGAGACAATGTCAAATCATTCCTTCACTAAATATATTTATATTTAGTTCACAGCACTGTAGCTGGAAAGACGGGGCTGAAACTTAGTTCTAAAATCCAAAAAGAGAGAGACGTCTTTTATCCCAAAATAATTGTAACATCAACCCACAGACAGGCAGCAAAAAACAAAAGTACTTTTAGGCTATAGCCTAGTTGTGGATATGTAGGCCTAGGCTTGGTACCCAGGACATTTCTAAAGTGTGTGTCTAGCACCGAAAATCTGCAGAACACAGCAAATAGAAACATAACCACTCGACATTGAAGAACGTGGTTCAGAAGAGGCACCCCTCATCAGTTCAGCCACTCCACTGGGGATGGCAGTTTTATGGATCAATAGTTGTGAAGCAGTGGTACCAATTCTAATTTGGATTCCCTCACCCACGGTCAGTGTGGTTACATAAACCACCACAACGCCCCCCTTCCCTCCTTCAATCATTTAACAAAAACAGCCAGTCAGAGAGACAGCCTGCTGTCTCATTGGCCAGGAGGAGCCTGCCTGGCCCAAGGTTGGGTTACTGTGGAAGAAACAGAAAATGTTTGAAGAGATCTGTGTAGTGTAATTGTTTGTACGTGTGCCCCAGCAGCTTGCCGTAGCAGCGAGGAGAGGATGGTTGGCAAGTGGCCCGGGCCTGCTGTTAAATGGCTCCTGGCATAGTTTGGGCGCTGCGGACAGCCAGGTTCGGAACATGTGCTCGCCCGCTCCATTTCAAATCATCGTCGCCCTCCAATTGGGGTGATCATGGAGAGCAATCGCCAGGCTAATGAATAAGGGTCCGCTCGTCTCCCAGCCCTCCCACCATAATAGCCACCCCATTTGGGCCAAACGACGGCCTGCGTAGAGGCGTTTACATTAAAGCCTGTTCCGAGCCATTGCGTGGAATGCTCAAAACGAGTCGTTAGGTCCAAAATATGCAGGCAGGCCATTTATTTACTCATCTGGTACCACAGTGAAAACACAGGGTTTCACAGCACTGAACTCCTGTAGTGCCCAGTCATGCCCACTAAGGGGCGATCAATCACTCAGGGGTGAATGGGTGTTTTGGGACAGTTATTAGACTGGTGAGTTTTCAACTGGATAATAAAGCTTTATGTTATATATGACAGAGGCTTTTGAGACCGCCGATCAGTGGGAAAGCCTCAATGTTCCTGCAGGGCAACACTGCCACCACCTGTTCTCACACCTTAACTGAGAGCCTCAAGTGGGGGGGGGGGGGGGGGGGATTACGATTCTATGTACAGTGGCATTGTGTCATCAAGCAAGCGCATTTTGACATCACACACTCATGAGTCACACTATTTTCTAAATTCTGTCATAGTGCAAGTGTTGAATTGTGACATCATACTTCGGCCTTCTGGCATCACGGCAAGTGGACAGTGTGCTGATGTCACAATAGGGAAAGAATCAAAGATGTCACAATAGACAAACGACTGACATTTATTCCATCATGTTACGCATGTAACAATGGCTAATTCTACTGTGACAAATTGACTGCATCATCATGTTTCCTGGTTAACACCATTTCAAATCTCTATGGGGCTGATTAAAGCCTTAGTAAATCAACACCCTGTTAAAAGACTGATGCACCCTGTTGCTTGTGACATCACAGCACTGCTGAGGTCTTACTTGTTGCCCCGGATTCCTTCCCTGCGGACGGTGGCGAGGCCCTCGTTCACCAGACACTCAGCAATGTTCTCGCCGGTGGTGTCTAGAGGGAGCGAGAGAGACAGAGGATTTAACACTAAAAATAAAGAAAGAAACAGAGTATGAAGTGGGAGGCACAGTGGATGCATAAAGAAGAGTCCATTCAATCGATCAATGGAAATGCAGTCAATTCAAGGAGAGAATTGAAATCCTATCCCTGAATGGAAAAATATCCCTGTGGGATATAGACAAATAGTGCACCAGTGATGTAGTGATGTTTTCCCCGACTAGTAGTAACTCTGGCCTCTATTTGTGGCTGTGTTAGTGTCTGGTGGTCTTCTCACCTCTGCCCAGGTACACCATGCCGTATTCTCTGCCCAGAGCGGTCTTGACCTCCACTGTGAAGCATACCTCCTTCCCAACCAGTATCTTGCGCAGGAACTCTCTGGCCTGGAAGGCATAGGGCTGCAAGGGAAAGAAGACAGGTTCACCTGTTGATCACGGCGATATTATACCACTAGGGGCACCAAATAATCACAATCACCCACAATTCATCTCTATACCCTGACCATAGAGATAGGACTCATCTTTGTATCTGTGCCATTATAGCGTCTGTGACTGCATGGACAGCGCAATCTCCATTTTAAAGTAGTCAATATTCTTTTTCACAATTGGCTGATCCCTCCTGATGACCCGGTTGGACATGACTCCAACAGGGTCACCAGGAGGGATCAGCCAATCATATATCAGCGATTACATAATAACTGGCACTGCAGGTGGAATCTGATCGAAGAACAGCCAACACTTTTTCTTAGTACAACCCCTGAGAAAACACTCCCCCATAATTGTTGCTCCAAAAAGTGAATGCATCGTCTCCATGCAGCCACCCAAAATCAATTTAGTTCCTTATGAACCTCAATACAACGTCTACCCCCCCCCCCCCCACTCGTCTTCATGAATGGACCAGCCCATTGATTGAGTCAGTAATTGGTTGAAGTGCTTCAACGCACCTCGTCGGGGGTGTCCTTTTGGTCGGGCTGGCTCTGGGGGGCGCGGCGAGCCAGCGCCCCGGTACGGATGTTACTCAGGTTGATCTGACGCTCCGGGGGCGGGCCTCCCCGTGGCTGGCCCCGCACGATTATTGCACATCCTGACAAGACCTGGAAGAGAGGAACATCACAGTAAATATTAGCATTGGGCTATTAGGGGAAAGAACAGGGTTATTTGCATTGCTGCAGGGGTAGGTAGAATGTCTACAGGCTAATCGGAGACTGGTAATGGGCTGATATGGAAGTAGAGCTTTTGGTAGTGCTTATTATTATTTTCACCAATTCTCTCAGAACTCAACCCTATTCCATGGTATTGGAGGTAGAGGAAAAAACGGTTGTGGTGAAAGAGAGTGACTGTATATAGTCTTGTTGTAACAGTACTACTAGTAGTAGTAGCAGTAATAGTGGTAGTAGTAGTAGTGATCGTGGTTGTAGTAATAGTAGCAGTAGTAGAGCCAGGCCTAGTATAGACCTAACAGCTGTGACAGTGAATAGGCCTAGTGGTAGGTTGGTGTTGAGTGTTCAGTTCAGACAGGGTTTGACCCAATCAAAAACAAAGTGCCTTTTCCTGTAGCGAGAAGTACTGTCAGACCAGCGTCATCAGGGGTGTATTCATTACGGAAACCGTTTAAGAACCAAACGGATGCAAACAGAGCAAAACAAGAGTTTCTATTGGACGAATTCAGGTAGGTCCCTCCCGTTTCGCTTGCTTCCGTTTAGGAAACAGAATCGGCAGAATAAATACACCCCATACGATGAAGTATTGGGATCTAGAAAGATTTTCCCCACTGAAGTGACTCACTCCTCAGAACACCACTAAACAGAACAGGAGGAAGGGAAAGGGGCCTAAGCTCCTGTAGTGATTCATGACCAGCCATAGGTAGCTCCTGTAGTGATTCATGACCAGCCATAGATAGCTCCTGTAGTGATTCATGACCAGCCATAGATAGCTCCTGTAGTGATTCATGACCAGCCATAGATAGCTCCTGTAGTGATTCATGACCAGCCATAGATAGCTCCTGTAGTGATTCATGACCAGCCATAGATAGCTCCTGTAGTGATTCATGACCAGCCATAGGTAGCTCCTGTAGTGATTCATGACCAGCCATAGATAGCTCCTATAGTGATTCATGACCAGCCATAGATAGCTCCTGTAGTGATTCATGATCAGCCATAGGTAGCTCCTGTAGTGATTCATGACCAGCCATAGATAGCTCCTGTAGTGATTCATGACCAGCCATAGATAGCTCCTGTAGTGATTCATGACCAGCCATAGGTAGCTCCTGTAGTGATTCATGACCAGCCATAGATAGCTCCTGTAGTGATTCATGACCAGCCATAGATAGCTCCTGTAGTGATTCATGACGAGCCATAGATAGCTCCTGTAGTGATTCATGACCAGCCATAGGTAGCTCCTGTAGTGATTCATGACCAGCCATAGGTAGCTCCTGTAGTGATTCATGACCAGCCATAGGTAGCTCCTGTAGTGATTCATGACCAGCCATAGGTAGCTCCTGTAGTGATTCATGACCAGCTATAGATAGCTCCTGTAGTGATTCATGACCAGCCATAGATAGCTCCTGTAGTGATTCATGACCAGCTGTAGATAAACATTTTGCAACGGAATCCGAATAATGACTACAGGGGAGGCTGGTGGGAGGAGCCATATTGGAGAATGGGCTCATTGTAATGGCTGGAATGGATTCAATGGAATGGTACCAAACACATCAAATCAACGTGTTTGACTCCGTTCCATTGATTCCATTCCAGCCATTACAATGAGCCCGTCCTCCTATAGCTCCTCCCACCAGCCTCCTCTGAATGAATACACTCCTACGGTTTGCTCAAAGGCTGTGTTCTGATCTAGACAGTGGCTTTGGCTTGCCTCCTCGTCTCCTTTCCTCATTTGAAAGGGTTGGATAAGTGGAAATAGGCTAATATCTCTGTTCTGTTCAGGTTGGTGGTTTTGAAGGAAAGGAATGAAGGACAGGAGACAAAGGTTACACCAAGACTAGTGGGACTGAGTCTGTAAGCCATATGTGACAAGGAGCCAAGTCTTCAGGGAAGATCCCTCAACACCCAGACTACTATTCTCTGTACTCCTCCATCCAACCCAGCCAGATGCTGCACAACAAATCGGCTCCTCTAACCCTTTAGGGAGTGAACGTTATTTAAAATATGGTTACATGGAGAAATCGGCTCCTCTAAAAATAGCTCTTTAGGGAGTGAACGTTATTTAAAATAATGGTTACATGGAGAAATCGGCTCCTCTAAAAATAGCTCTTTAGGGAGTGAACGTTATTTAAAATAATGGTTACATGGAGAAATCGGCTCCTCTAAAAATAGCTCTTTAGGGAGTGAACGTTATTTATAATAATGGTTACATGGAGAAAAATCTGACCTTGCTGAAATGAAAATGGATGGCCCTCCCTTCAACAAAATAAATTCGAGCTAAACTCTCCCTGAACGCTTGGAAAAAAACAAGTGACCATCCCTTATACCCAAAACAATAATTAAAACAAAGTGGATAGCAGAGAACGTGTCTATCGTTTACCCTCACTTTTTGGACAGACCAGAGCATTAGATATGCAGTTTTAGAAACTGTTCTTTGTCCTGTAAGCATTACATGGCAACGCAGGAATTTTGATAGCGCACCGTGCTGCAGGCCAGAAGGTTGTGGGTTCGCAGACCACTGTGGACAAGAGTAGAGGTAGAAATATCTCATTTTTAGTAAAAGAATAGCATGACTATCATCGTATTTGCAGGTCTGAGAAAAAAATTACCTTTTATAAACATTACACACAATTCTACATATTAGCAGAATCTTTTTTGAACATCACACAAATTACCAAAATGACAGGCTAAGAATGGACAGAGAGATAGGCCTATTTGTTCATCTTATCAGAGATGAGGTGCGGCATATGGCACACATCGATATATATAGCCTAATAAGCAACTAATTCTAAAACACTGAGAAATGTTGAAATTTCATCAATTACATGATACTCCCCTGGACTAAATACAAAAATACTAAACCCTCCACTTGACTGAAATTGAAAAATCATGACCCTTCCCCATTTTCCTCCAGGTAACCAACCATTCTGTAAAATGTCAATCTATTCCTTACTGTACCTACTGTCTCATTCCACACACTTCCCTTATCCCCAAGGTGACCGCTCGCTTGTTTACCCTCTCCAGAGGAAACATACGTCTATGGGGGACATCTAGGCAGTGGCAGGCAGTCTATACTTACTGTATACTAAAAAATATATACATATATACAGCCTTTCAGTCAGTAACCATTGTGGGTGGGAGATGAATCCTACAGCTCTGAATTGTCTGAATGTTGTATGATAGCTGGTAGCCATATCTGCTGTAGCTAGCCTATACATACCACACTAGATTAGATCAACTGTGGTGTGAAGTTGATCACTGAAAATGCTTTTCAGGAAATGACACACTGACACAAAGAACCTGTATCAACTCAAATACAAGCTGGAAACTGTATAGACTGGCCCACTGAGAGGAAGTAGAATCGGAGTAATTGCCAAACTATGCTGAAATCAGGAATGTGATTACTTGCATGCCGTCGTTACGAGTATTGGCCTCTAGAAAGCGCTTAGATGTAGAATGAGACTGTGCATGCTAAATCATTTGGGGTTCTTTTGGGCCACTGTAACTATAGATATTACTACAACTGCTGCTTGCTTCCACTACGGGGGGACGGGGGATGGGGGGAGGAATACGTGTCAGTTTCTCGTGGTCGCTTCAGAGCAGCAGACTTGCTGACCAAACTACACTGAACGCAAGACGTTCGTTTGATATTTTTGCCACACTTTTTGGAAATAGGTAGCCAATTCATCTCAAACCAAAATATATTATTTTGATAGTGGTGTCCATTGTTCGAGTTGAATGACATCCTTTAACGTGAAAGAAGCTATCTATGATGGCACACTAGTTAGTTTGCTACAGTAACCATTTGGATGTTGTGTCTGGAGTGGAATCAAAAGAATGCTAGCTAGCTTCCATTCCAGAATCATAAATCAGAGTTGTTTAACCACGATACAGGAGCGCGCTGATCAGGACACGAACTTTGAACACTCCTAGTTAGCTAGTTGGTTTATCTGGCTAAATACCTAGCTACATGAACCCCATAGCCGGGGTCAACCAAGCTAGCTACCAATTTTGCTTGGAAAGATGACATGCTTCCACACCTGCCAACAATTAATGTGCAAACAATTTCTAGTTAGCTAGTTACTGTAACGTTAGTTGTCTTGTTGCAACTTCAACTGGCTACAGATAGAAACCTCTTTTGCGAGTGTTTGAACTAACGTCAGGGTATTTTCCTAAACACCTAATTCAAGCACCTGTGCAGGACAAACAACTCCCTCTTGTTTGTTTGTCATTGTTGTTCAAGTGGTGTCTCAAGAGTTTCCTTGGGCACGGCAATGTTTACTTCAGTAACGTTAGCTAGCACCTTTTACATAAACCATGTCAACTCCTCAAAGTATGTTGCTAATCCTAAACTGCTGCAGAATTTAGTCAATTTGTGGTGCTTGTTAGCTAACGGTGTTAGCTAGCCAACATTGTCATTGAACACGACATTGAATAGTACTTTTCTAACAAGAAAAAGACCACAACAATGAGAACTTGTTGGATATCGTAGCTAGCTCGTTAACTCGCTAGTTAATCGAAAGCTAACAAGCTGTTAGCATCATCCCCAGTCCCATACTCTTTATCCATATGTTCCTACCATCTTGACTATTCCTCTCTGGAGCGCCGCAACCGGAGCAGGATTCGCCTGTGCCGAAACTGATGATGCCATGTCCACAAAGTTAGATACGCCGTTTAGGGGGAAACAGGTAAGGAGCCGGGAGTCAGAAATGACTGTTCTATTGAAACCCAAGAGGAAAAGGCTGGATAACTGTGAACACACGCTATACCGGAAACACACCGTACCATGCATACACGTCAAATAGTTACTTTTCCGGGTACAGGATTAGAAATGAATGGGGCAGATAGGCTATTCCTTGGACGCGTAATCAGAGTGAAATAAGATCTTCCGGTGCATGGGGAGGTTATACACGTCAGCATAGTATTACCCTGGTACCATTCATAACGTTCTCGTGGTCAGAGCAGTGGATTCCCCGAGCTCTAGACATGCAAAAATAGTACAATGTTATGTGGTCTATTCACCCAATGCAAATAAAATGTGACCTTGTATAAACCAAAGCTAATCAACAAATCTACAGAGAGAGGTTATGCATCTTTGTTCGATTGTAGGCTATTTAAATTAGGGGAATTCTTTACTGTAAGGCAAAGATACCTGTACCTAAATCTGTCCTGTCATACTTCCCATCCCCTGTAATCGTATACCAGGGGTGTCAAACATACGGCCGAACGGGGTCTAATCCGGCCCGCAAACAAACGGGGGACGAAATTAATATACTTTAAAATGACTAAAACCAAATTGAAACTGTGTAGAAATTATAATGGCCCTATATTCACACCATTTCTTGAATGTTCAGCCATAGCTGCTGACATTTTTGGGGGGGCCTGCACTACAGATGTCTATATGGTCCGCTAATACAGTACTAGTAAAGGTCCAGTGGACTAGTTTTTTTTAATATAATATTCTTTTTAAATCAGATTTTTCAGTGGGGGGTGCTGCAGCCCCCATACTTCCCGTGTCCAGCTCACTAATAATCAATGTGCACAGTCAATGGATCTACATTCATACAGTTGCTTGACTGTTCAGCGATTTATAATCACTAAATACTCAGGGAGCATTGAAAATTCCCAAAACGATGGATAGAGGAAAATGTTTTGCACATTTTGACGCAAGGAAATATAACAAATGTTCAGTGCGGCCCTCCGGACCTCGTTGAAGACCGAATGCTGCACAGTATAATGCACAATATATAGTCCAATATTTACATGTGTTTGGGGGAAGGAGGGATTGGGGAACAAGTGTTTAAATTATGCTGTATTTAGCAATAATAATAAGTCTTGTGATGTGTGGAAAGAAATCAGGACAGAAAGAAAACCATGTTTGACCATTTGAAATAATGTTTATACAAACCGTGAAATTATTTGATATCAATAGCTAGGTTTCCATCAGTGGATGCTCCTCAGAGGAGGAAGGGGAGGGCCATCCTCCTCAGTGAATTACATAAAAATTAAATGTGTAAAACATTTAATAAGTTATCCTTTTTAGATAAAACTATACTAAATATATTCACGTCACCAAATAATTGATTAAAACACACTGTTTTGCAGTGAAGGTCTAGAGTAGCCTCAACCGCACTCTGTAGGGTAGCACCATGGTGTAGCCAGAGGACAGCTAGCTCCTTTCCTCCTCTGGGTACATTGAATTCAGTAAAATACCTAGGAGGCTCATCGTTCTCACCCCCTTCCATAGACTTACACAGTAATTATGACAACTTCCGGAGGACGTCCTCCAACCTATCAGAGCTCTTGCAGCATGAACTGACAAGTTGTCCACCCAATCAAAGGATCAGAGAATTAATCTAATACTGAAATCATATGCTACAGCTAGCTATCACTTCAGTGTATAAAATATGGTGAGCAGTTGACTCAAAGAGAGAGAAAGATAATAGTTTAACAGTTTTTAACAAATTAATTTCTTCCAAAAAATGAAGGAGAAGCAAGAGAGAGATTTCGTAATTTTTTTCCACTTTCAGTTTCACTTACTTAGCTAGCCAATGCAGTTAGTGGGATGCTATGTTAGCTAGCTGGCTATGACTATCCAACACAACACTGGAACTCTTCCAAGTCAAAGTAAGCTTTTGGTTTTACTAATTTATTGCCACTGGGGCCTGCCGGTGTAAGTGCTAAACTGCTTACTGGCTGTACACTGTAACGTTACTGCATGATTGTAGCGGGTTTACTAATGCGTTAGTTATATTAGCTATGTTGACTATGATGTTACTTTAGCTAATTTGGTGACAACGATGTAGGCTGTGTGTAGCGGTTATGATATGTTTTGGCTTGGAACGTTTTCTTTTGCCTGGTCACATACAGCTGATGTGGAGGAGAGCGCATAGATGCGAGAAGGAATACAACGTGGCTGCTATGAAAGTGAACGCGTGATCAGGGGTGTATTGATTCTGTTTCAAACATTTTCTTAAATGGAAGCAAACGGAACGAAAAGGGGATAAACATACTTGAATTTGTCCAATAGAAACTCTTGTTTGCAACTGTTGGACTAATGATTACACCCTAGATCAGCTAGATACAGGCAAGAGTGTGCAACCAAAAGCTCAGATCCTCAAAAAGTTCTACAGCTGCACCATCGAGAGCATCCTGACTGGTTGCGTCACCGCCTGTTATGGCAACTGCTCGGCCTCCAACCACAAGGCACTACAGAGGGTGGTGCGTATGGCCCAGTACATCACTGGGGCCAAGCTTCCTGCCATCCAGGACCTCTATAGCAGGCGGTGTAAAAGGAAAGCCCTAAAAATTGCCAGAGACTCCAGCCACCCTAGTCATAGACTGTTCTCTCTGCTACCGCACAGCAAGCGGTACCGGAGCGCCAAGTCTAGGTCCAAAAGGCTTCTTAACAGCTTCTACCCCCAAGCCATAAGACTCCTGAACAGCTAATCAAATGGCTACCCAGACTATTTGCATTGTTGGTTAAGAGCTTGTAAGTAATTATTTCACTGTAAGGTCTACACCTGTTGTATTCGCCGCATGTGACAAATACAATTTGATTTGATTTGAAGGCAGTATTGCATGTGTCACTGTCTATCCATGTGTCACTGTCTGTCACCTCAAATTTGTGATTTTTTGGGGGGGTTTATCATTTGATTTATACAACATGCCTACCACTTTGAAGACGCAACATATTTTTTATTGTGAAACAAACAAGAAATAAGACCAAAAAAAACAGAAAACTTGAGCGTGCATAACTATTCACCCCCCCCAAAGTCAATACTTTGTAGAGCCACCTTTTGCAGCAATTACAGCTGCAAGTCTCTTGGGGTATGTCTCTATAAGCTTGGCACATCTAACCACTGGGATTTTTGCCCATTATTCAAGGCAAAACTGCTCCAGCTCCTTCAAGTTGGATGGGTTCCGCTGGTGTACAACAATCTTTAAGTCATACCACAGATTCTCAATTGGATTGAGGTCTGGGCTTGACTAGGCCATTCCAAGACATTTAAATGTTTCCGCTTAAACCACTCAAGTGTTGCTTTAGCAGTATGCTTAGGGTCATTGTCCTGCTGGAAGGTGCAAGCTCCATCCCAGTTGTCATGGAATCAGCCGAGGCTGCTCCTCCTCCTTGCTCGGGCAGGCTTCGGCGTTCGTCGTCCCCGGAGTACTAGCTGCCACCGATCTATGTTTCTGTGTTTGACTTGTTTTGTCTTGATTGTGTACACCTGTTTCCTATTATGTTGTATTGTATTCCCTATTTAACCCTCTGTCGTTCATTGTGTGTTGTGTGTGATTGTTCTCGTCATTTTCGGCAGTTGCTAGTGTGCGGGTATTCCCCTCCCTGTTTGGAGGTTGTTTTGTATTCTGGTTACTTTGTTAGTAAAGTATCATTTCCAGTAGCACAGAATCACACACCTCTCATGGAGTCAGCAGGAGAGGCGGTGCCAGCTGGATCTATGGAGGCACGCGTTGAACACCAAGCAGCCATGATCCAGGCTCTCGGCACCGCCATGGAACGGGTGGTGAACACCATTGAGCGATGGGAAAGAGGGGGTCTACCTATACCCCCTCCAACGATACCACCACCATCGGCGATGCCCATCGTTTCACCTCCGGGGTCCAGTGGGATTCGGCTCTCGCTCCCGAGGGCTTATGATGGCATAGCGGCCGGTGCCAGGGTTTCCTACTCCAGGTTGAACTCTACCTAGCAACCATTCACCCGGCGCCCTCGGGATACGAGAGCGTGTCCGCCCTCATCTCCTGTCTGTCCGGCAAGGCACTGGAGTGGGCCAATGCCGAGTGGGGTGGGATAGACGCCGTTACGGTCAGCTATGCGGAGTTCACCCGCCGCTTCCGGGCAGTATTCGATCATCCACCAGAGGGTAAAGCGGCGGGTGAGCGTCTATTCCACCTTAGACAGGGGAGGAGTAGCGCGTAGGAGTTCGCGCTGGACTTCCGGACGCTGGCTGCCAACACGGGATGGAATGAGAGGGCCCTCATCGACCACTATAGATGTAGCCTGAGGGAGGACGTGCGTCGGGAATTGGCCTGCAGGGACACCAACCTCAGCTTTGATCAATTGGTGGACATGTCGATTCGCCTGGATACCCTGTTGGCTACCCGCGGACGTCCGGATTCGGGGCCGTCCATTCCATCTCCCAGCACTTCCGAGCCGACCCCTATGGAGCTCGGGGGTGCTGGTGCTAGGGAGACCAGGAGGGAGACCAGGAGGGAGGCCGTCCCCTGCACCAACTGTGGCCGCAGAGGACACACTGCTGGTTGGTGCTGGGGAGGGTCTCCTAGGAATCGAGGCAGTGGGCGACGCACTGATGAGTCATTCCAGGTGAGTAGGCACCCAACTCACCCAGAGCTCTCTGTTGATCATATGTGTATTAAAGTGGTGTTTCCCGAGGTTTCTCCTCACTCCCAGCATAAGGCGCTAGTAGATTCAGGCGCAGCTGGGAATTTTATCGATCGCCAGTTCACCTATAAGTTAGGGATTCCTATCGTACCTGTTGATGTGCCCTTCCCTATTCATGCCCTAGATAGCCGCCCTTTGGGGTCAGGATTGAATAGGGAGGTCACGGCGCCTCTCCGGATGAAAACGCAGGAGGGTCATGAGGAGATATTAAGTTTGTATTTGATTGACTCTCCTGCGTTTCCCGTGGTGTTGGGGCTTCCCTGGTTAACATCTCATGACCCCAACATTTCATGGCAGCAGAGAGCTCTCAACGGATGGTCTGATCAGTGTACTGGGTGGTGTGTAGGCGTTTCCGTAGGGGCAACGAC